ATGATGTCCCTTCTACGTGCTTTCTACATGCTTTCTTCCAAGGATAGCTTATGAAATTGTTTAGCTCCAACTAAAATTTAATATTTACAGAAAATATAATATAATCATATAAAGTTTAGAAATTTTATAAATTTGATATTTATAAAAAGTTTATAATTTGGACAACTAACAAATTTTAAAAATTAGAAAATTCAAAAATCTAACCCTTTTTTTATGAAATTCAAAAACTGTTTTTCTTTAAGTTGAATGAAAATTAGTTTATGGAGGATTTTAACCTTTTGTGTTAATGCTGTGGTCATACTTATTTTCAGGTTTTTCTGTGTTCTGCTGCACCTTCAGGTGCTTACCTCCAGTTGCTCATTTCCATTTGAGCTGCTCCGGGTGCTCTCACTCCAGGTGCTCACCCCAACTTTTGGGTTGCTTCATGCTGTCCTTGTTCTGCTGCTGATTCAGGTGCTCTCACTGTCCCACTCAGATCTCAGATTCTTGCCACTCGTGTCTATCCTGTCCATGTTTGTGGGACACTTGACTTCTCACAACTTGTCCCTCTCATTACTTGCCTCCCCCCCCGTTTTCTCATCTTTCCCTCCTCTCCTTCTGCTTTCTCTTACTCTCTTCCACTCCTTCTATTCCTTCTTTACTTAAGTTGGATATCCTTTTCCCCCTGTGATTCAGTTCTGACTCCACTACTGTTACTGTCTTTGAAGGAACAGAACTCAATGATGGCAGAATTGCATGTGTCATTTAGCTGCGTGGATCAAGACCCTGCAGAGTATTTGGCCTGTGGGCTGCAAAGCTCTAGAGGAAATGAAGGAAGCATATAAAAAACAAGCTGACAAGAGGACACCTCAGAAGGAGTAGGAGATAAAGTTTACATCTCTACTAGGTTTCTGCAGTCATGACAACCCTGCAGAAAACTAGGTCCAAAATACGTAGGGCCTTTCCCCATCACCAAGGTCATAAACCCAGTGATGGTTGAGTTATAACTGAAGCCAGTCTCTGATTCACCTTTGCAGCCCAACTCAAAGCCACCTCCTCCAATTATGATAGAAGGGGAACAATAGTTTGAGATTAAAAGAATCTTAGAGTCTAGAATCCATAAGGGGAGATTGCAGTACCTTATTCTGTGGAAAGATTTCTCTCCCTCAGAGACTGAGTTGGTTTAGGTTAGACATGTTCGCTGTTTAACCTGCCAGTTTTGTGTCAAATATCCCAATAAGCTTAAACCTGGTAATCTATGCTGTAACTACTATGTTTTCTATTTTTTCTTTTATAGGCATAGTCTTTTTTTCTGGAGAGCAGCGTGCCATAGCTGTCATTCTAGTGCTAGGGAGGTTGGGTTTGAAGCAGAGCCAGCCCCAATTGTGAGGAGCACTAATCAAGCACAAGGTCAGCAAAAAGAATGTGGAGATGGTAGAGATATGAATGCAGAGAAAAACAAATATTTTTCATGCCCTTATTTGGCTCATTTCCTTTTGCCCTTGATATCTAATCTTTAACTTTCATCACTATTGTTTCTGAGGTTGCAAAGCTAGAAATGTAACTTTCTTACAGTGGAAAATGTGCAGGTTTAAGATTTAAAAGAGCCAATGGACATCACTCTTCACATCCTAGGATGCTGACATGTTCCCCATTGTCTTTTGCCCACTGAATTCAATGTCTAATAAATGGGAGAGATCAGTAGGAAAATCTAAAATAGTAAATAATCCATGATTATATTTAGCATGAACTTGAATGATGTAAATGAAAATTATTGACTCATCAGATCTTTTCTAAATCCTGAACAAAGGATGTCTCTCTTCCTTAGGTGTGGACTCAAGCAATTTCCCCCAAATGTTATGTATTCTTTAATTACTTCTACATATCAGCAATTTGTACATAAAAATGGGATGCTAAAGGCACATTTGGACATCAACTGTTCAACCTGCTATTTAAATCCTACTTGTGCAAAGGCTAGGAAAAGAAATTACAGGTGTCCTAGTTGATTCTGTGTGGACTGATTAAAGCCAAACATCTGTATCATTGAACAATCCCATTAATTAAGCTATATTATAAAGGTGACAAACACATTAACACCACTTTGAGAGTGCAGTAGGTATCTCCTACAAAATGACTGTTATGATAAACAAGGGATGGCTAATATATCAAATGGAAGATCATGTGGTTAAAGTTCTCTTGAAAAAAACTGAATCTGATCAGATGGCATTATCTGGGTGTAGACCATAGCACATCCACAGCAATGAGTTGGTCATCACTGTTAAGCTTCAAATGTCAGCAAAGGTTCCTCGCTATGAATTTACAGCCTAGAGAGGGGAAAGACTACCTACTATGTCCTCATGGTCCATTCCATCCATGAACACATCACCCAAACAGATGTGACTCTTAGATCACCCAACTAAAAATAAAAAGCCATCTTACACAAAGCACCAACCAAGTTCTGTCCTCATCAACCCAACACTACAGATACAAAGATGAGGTTTTATTAGAATGTCTTTTGTTAAGTACATCATCTGCGTCTTATCCTTTTGAGATGGAAATGCAATGGAAAACCAAAAATGTAAAGAAAAGCTGCCAATGCCATGTCTAAGGGAACCAGAGTGCAACTTGTATCATATTTCCAATAACCTCATAGTTTATGATAAGTGATGGATGAAGACAGCATAGATGGTTGCCGGCAGAACCAATGCCTCTGTTTCCAGATGGCCACTAAAACCAGCCACTTGTATTGCTTTATCAGGTAAAAATAAAAAATAAATTGAAATAATTTTTCAGCACTTTCAAATATAATCACCCAATATTAGGAGTACACTCTAGAAAGTGTACTAGATAGGATAAGTTTTAGATAAGAACTTGATCCCTCAGTTTGGGAGAAACACATTAAGTCTGACACAACCACATACACGAATCACAAGTTCTTTAGGTGAAGTAAAAGTTATTTATTAAGGGAAGGGTCAAGTCTTTATGTAGGATACAGAAACAAATGATACATTGGTATATTTGGGAGGCATTAAGAAGACATTGCTTGATCTTTCTCAATTGAGTTTCTTACTTAATGCTTGCAAGTGTATTCAAAGACTTCCAGAATTTCCCAGTATTGTTTCTGAACAGGGTAAATTTTGCATGTTAAAAATTTAAAAAATGGCATTTTTTTAAAGACAAAACGTGGGTTCCCTAAATTTCAAAAGGAGACATGGATACCATACCAAACCCAATCAGAATAGAGCTAGAATAGAGCCTTAGAGGTCTTGTAATCCAACCCCCTGCTTAAGAGGAGACCCCATATAATTTGAGACAAGTGGCTATCCAGTCTCTTAAAAACCTCCAGTGATGGAGCACCAACAATTTCTGAAGGCAAGTTATTCTACTGGCTAATTGTCCTCATTGTTAGGAAGTTTCTCCTTAATTCCAAGTTGCTTCTCTCCTTGAGTAGTTTCCATCCATTGTTTCTTGTCTTGCCTTCTGATGCTTTGGAAAATAGGTTGATCCCCTCTTCTTTGTTGAAGCCCCTCAAATACTGGAATACTGTTATCAGGCTATCAGATCACCTTTTCTCTACACTGGCCATACCTAATTCCTTCATTCTTCATGTTTTTGTTCTGAGGCCCTTAATCATTGAAGTGCTCTTCTTTGCACTTTTTCCAAAATCTCAACATCTTTTTTTTTAATGTGGTGACCAAATCTGGATGCAGTATTCCAGGAATGGTCTTACTAAGGATTCATAAAGTGATACTAATATGTCACAATTTGAATTTATGCCTCTGTTTATGCAACCCAGGATTGAATTGGCTTTTTTGGTGGTGGCAGCACACTGCTGGCTCATGTTTAAGTGATTGTCCACTAGGACTCCAAGGTTCCTCTCACAGTTACTATTTTTGAGCCAGATTCCACCTAATCTGTATTTGTACCTTTGGTTTTTCCTGTCTAGGTGTAAAACCTTCCTTTTCTCCATATTAAATTGCATGTTTTGGATAGGGTCCATTCTTCAAGTCTGTCAATATCTTTTTAGATCCTGAATTTGTCTTCTGGGGTATTGGCTATTCCTGATAGCTTAATGTCATCTGCAAATTTGATGAGTTCCCCTTTTATTCCCTCATCCAAGTCATTTAGGAAGATATTGAAGGACTATCCACCACTTACTTCCCTCCATGTAGATGTAGTATCATTAAGGACTATTCATTGAATATGGTTTCTCAACCAGTTACAAATCCATCCATCAGAAGTTTGTTGATTGGGGAAAAATTGGAGAATGAAGTGCTAAATATACAACCTTGAATTTCTGGAGAAATGTAGGATATAAATTCTAAGATCTGGTGGTGATGCTTTCTATCCCACATTTTTTAATTTACCAAGAAGTAGGTCGTGGTCTACTTTGTCGAATGCCTTACTGAAGTCTAAGTATACCATGTTCACAGCATTTCGCTGATCTACTAATTTAGTCACCATTTCAAAGAATGAAATAAGATTGGTTTGGCATGATTTATTTTTAACAAACCCATGCTGGCTACTAATTATAACTTTGTTTCTAGATGTTCACATACCTGTTTTTTTATTATTTTTTTCAGCATCTTCCCAGGTATTGATGTTAGGCTGATTGGTCCTTAGTTTTCTGGGTGTTTCCCCCCACCCATCCCCCCCTTTTTTGAAGATGGGAACCACACCAGCTCTTTTCCAATCATCTAGCAGTTCTCCGGTGCTCCAGGATTTTTTAAAGATACAATACAATGGTTCTGAAATAACATCTACCAGCACTTCAGAATTCTGGGATGTAATCCATTGGGTCCCAATTATTTATATTTGTCAAGATCAGACAGGTATTCTTTTATCATTTTCTTGCTTATTTCAATTTTTATTTCTAGTCTGTCTTTTACAGTTATGTTTTGGTAGGTTTGATTACAGTTTCTTTTTGTGTGAAGACTGATGCAAACTAAGAGTTAAACAGTTCTATTTTCTCTGTGTTACTTCCTTGCCATCTTTACTCTTTAGTGGACTGTTTCCTTGACTTTTTTCTTGTTATTTATATGTTGAAACATTCTTTTAAAAAAATATTTTGACTTTTATTGCAAGTCTGAGCTTTTGTTGCATTCTGAGCCTTGCTTTCCTGACTTCATCTTTGCAAATTCAGCTATCTGCTGATATTCTGCCTTAGGTATGTGTCCCCCTTTCCAGTTTTTGTACTTATCCTTTTTGTCTTTCAGTTTATCAGAGATGCATGCTGGTTTCTTCTTGGATTTTTTTTTCTTTTTCAGATGTATTGTGTTGGATTGGGTTTTTATGATCATATTTTTCAGAGTTTGTCATGTTTCTTGATTTGTTTTCTGCTTTAGAACTTTTATCCATGGAATTTTTCTAAGGGTCTCTCTGAGTTAATATCTCCGAGTTTGTTAAAAAAATAAAAACAAATGCCATATTTATTAAAGAGCTAATAATGAAGCCTAAAATTCCAGGTATAATGCCACTAGGGGGCCAGAAGCAGTAGATCTATCTCGATCCTAAAACCCTCAGTCAGGCCTAGATAGGCATTTTTGCTCAGGTAGGTTAACCTCTTGAGATCATTACAGACTTGCCATACATTTCATGTCTGCGCTAATAGAAATCCTTTGGGCTGCACATTATGTAGAACATCTCATTTCTGTACCTTATCATCATCAGTCAAATGGAGGCAGTAATTAAGATGATGGACAATGACTGGGGAGATCTAGGTACAGTCTACCTGTCAACTGCCCACTTGATGAATCCAGAAAAAGAAACTAGTGGGACATTATTTTAACAAGAATATAAACTTTAATGAATAAATCCACATTGGCAGAGAAGTGAAACCAGTTCTGGCTTCCCGCACAAAATATGCATAATTCATTCCCAGTAATGGGGCACCCACAATCCATTATGTCCACCAATCACTTCTATTCCTTTTGTTATAAGAACCACCAGCCACACTGTGGCATCTCTCTGGGCGCCCTTGGGGGGGGAGAGCAATGTCTCATGGGAACAGAGGATGCTTGGATGCCATTCCCCCAACCCTTGCATTCTAGTTTACCACCATCCTATTCTTTGACAAGCTGCGAGCAAAGTGGAAAATACGTGAAATTTTGAGTCAGTCTTGCCACCACCCTGAGTTGTGTTAATCTCTCTCAGTTCAATCTAACTCAGAAGTTTGTTGATTGGGGAAAAATTGGAGAATGAAGTGCTAAATATACAACCTTGAATTTCTGGAGAAATGTAGGATATAAATTCTAAAAGTAGCGATGATTCTTTGCCACTTTTGATCTGTATTACCCAGGAATTCTAGACAAATAACATTTGAAATTCATAATACTATCATTCTTGGAAATGTTTAAATTGTCTTTTATTACAGTACATGCTGTATATCTACAAGCCTTAGATTTTGGTAATGTGAAGAATAACACGGGCATCGTCCCAATAGTTTATCTGCCAAAGGCGTTCTAGAATAAGGGTTGCATTTTATTTACAATGTCCCTTTTATCCATTTTTTTTATATAACAAACCAAATGTATACAATTTGTAGTGTTGTTCATTCAAAGTGCTCTCTTCAGTTGTTTGCTGGTGAAAAACCTGTAATCACTGTTTTAAAAAATCCATATACAGGTAGTTCTTGACTTACAACAGTTCATTTAATGACTGCTCAAAGTTACGATGGCACTGTCAGATCTGCTATCTTCAGTTTAGCGCTTTGCTGACAACCTGTCATAAATTGTCAGGGCGGTGGGAGGGGAGTGGGAGGAGAAAGAAGTAGGCAATTGGCATGTAGAGGGTAGAGATGAGCAAAGGGGAAGGAGTGATAGGCTTGATGGAAAATAGAGGTGTGAGAATTGGTCTATTACAATTGGAGTGGAGCCTGAGAAAAGAATGTGAACTGCATCACGTGGCACCATTTGATAAAGACAGGTCAAGGGGGGAGGGATGGTAAGAAGGGGAAATACTGTAATGCTTTGCATGAGAATTTCATTTCTAGCCTTGCTTTTGCTGAAACTACTAACTCTTAATCACTTCAACCAAAAGGAGTTGAGGATCTTTCTTTCCTAGGGACCTAGTTGAGACATATCTTACAGGCACTGAAAAAAGTGACATGACCATTCTTCATAGTTACAACTCTTGTAGTATCCCCTTGATCATGTGATCATTCAGATGTTTGGCAACTGGTTCAGACTTATGACTGTTGCAGCGTCTCAAGGCAATATGATTCACTTAACAACTGAGTTACTAACTTATCATTTGCAGTGGCAAAGGTCATAAAATGGGGCAAAAGTCAACAAATGTGTCACTTAAAAACATAATTTTTGGGTTCAATTGTGGTCGTAAGTTGAGGACTACCTGTATAGTTGTTGCATTTGTCTACATTAAAAAAAATTAAGGTGAACAATTTTTCTCCCAAGAAATAATTGACTATCTACCAAATACTTGATGCATAATGTTTCTCAAGGGGAAGATTTGTATCCTGAAACAGAATGTTTAACAAACTTTTTATCTTTCTTGTGTGAAAAACAAATGATGCTTTCCTTTCAAGCCTGTGATCTTGAGCTGAAACAAGAATCTTAAATAGAATAAGATTCTGAACACCAAGTCATTCTGGGCTTTAAATTATATATACTATCCTAGATACATTAGAATGCATCCATCAGTCAATGCAAAAATTCTGTCTTAGACTTCAACATCTTCGTAAAATATTTAGATAAAGGGATAGAAGATAATTCATCAAATTTGCAGACTATATCAAGCAGGGAGGGAATAGCCAATGCTTTGGAAGGCAGACCCCAGGGACAGAAGGATCTTGACAGACATGAATGCTGGGTCTTATCTAACAAAATGCAATTCAAGATTGCATCAACAGAGGGATTGTCTCAAGATCACGTGAAATGATATAACACATACTTGAAATACAGCTTCCAGTTCTGATCACCATGGTATAAAGATATTGAGACTCTAGAGACAGTGCAGACAACAACAGACATGATAAAGGGTCTACAGGATAAATTGTACAATGAACAGTTGTGGGAACTAGGTGTGTCTAGCCTAACAAAAAGAAGGACTAGGGATAACATGACATCAGACTTATAATATTTGAGGAGCTGTCACAGAAAAGAGGGAATTGACATAATCTCCAAAGCATCTGAGGATAGGACAAGAAATGTCAGATGGAAGATTATTAAAGAAAGATCTAATCTAGAATTAAGGAGAAATTTTCTGACAATGAGAACAATTAATGGAATACCTCGCCTCCAGAAGTTGTTGGTGTTCCATCCCTGGAGGTCTTCAAACATAGACTCAAACAGGGGCTTTCACCAGAAAACTCTGAATTCCCTTTCCAACCCTATTCTATGTTCTATATTTCATTTGTGCATGTAAAAGTCTCACAGTTGTTGAAATATATAGAAAAAAATACTTTGGCCTTGGTAGAGTTAGGATACATGGAACTGAAAACTTGCAATTCAGATAAGTAAGCTTTAAAAATTTCATTTAGCAGTATTATTGCTAAGCATATGGATAGGTCTACATGATGAGAAAGTATAATTGCTTGCATAAACAAGATCTAATAGATGTATTGCTTCAGTTTTCCTTTTTCAGCCACAAATTAGATTTCTGCTCTTAAATGTCCTTAAGTTTGCAGGTTTAAGCTATTTCCATACTCAAAGAGAAAATAAAATAGAATTCTATTTGGAAGGAAAGAATGCCACTTAAATAAGTGATTCAAAGAGAAAAAGTTGGGAACAGAATTGAATTCCTAATTAACAAGTGCAATGCAGAAACAAGAGATGGTTTAGGAATTGACACTGTTAGTACTGACTGAAATTTCTTAATGTAAGATGATAAATACTATTCTCAATGTATTTTATTGCATTAAGATTAATGATGGGTTTTTCCCCCTAGAAATTAATATTCAGTCATTATTGGATCCACCCAAATTCTGAGTAAAATCAATTAAGACACAATGGAAGGAGATTGGCAGACTACTTTTTTCTGTATAGGTGGTCTTCATTTAACAATCACTCATTTGGCAACCATTCAAATTTAAAACAGCGCTAAACAAGTGGTAATTACATTGATCCTATTTATACCCATGACAGTATCTCTACAATCATATGATTGTGATTTGTGACCTTTCCTGTCAGGTTCCACCAAGCAATGTCAGTGGGGAACTGGCATCAAATGCAATCACAAGGCCTTCACTTTATGACCCATGTAGTCACTATCATTAGTTGGTGTAGTCAAATGGTTTTTCGATCAAGCTGATTAACTACAGAGTTTCCAGTCCCAATTATCATTCTTAAAAACAAAGACTAGTTTGTTCAGCATTTGAAACAATTTAAAGTAATTTAAAGTAATATATTACAATACTTAGGATTTCTGAAATTTACCATTAACATGATAATTGGGAAGTGGGAGGAGATGCATTTATATATATCAATATATCCTAAATAAATCAGTTCTACTATTTAGAGTTTTAATTAAATCAAGACTAATACTCTTCTGTGAAATTTCGAAGAATAAAATTTGTTTCAATAAGTTTTCTGTTTTGTGGTCTAACACAGAGGAAGTAAATAGTTGTTTGCCATACAAAAGATATGCAGAAACTCCATGCAGTTAGTAAATTAGACTTGGTTGAAATGCAGCCCTTATGTGGCCATGTACCATTCCAGAGTAGAGTAGATCTTAGTGCACATAGAATGGTAATATTTAGGCTAGTAGTATATCCTAAGCACAGTAACTACTGAAGGTAAAACTCCACTCAAAATTGCAACATGCTTAGTTATAAAACATTTCATACACAGAATGACTGCAGGCAAGTATTCATATCCAGCTATCTCCAAGCCAGGGAACAAAGGCAGAAAATCTTTTTATTACACCAAAATATAAGGAAAAGGAAGACATATTTAGCTTTAGTAATAAATCTCTTTGCTTACCCAGAATTAAAAAATCCCAGGAAGAAGAGTAACACTAATTTCTTTTTTTTAAATGATAAACGATACAAGCAGATGAAACCTAATCTAAAGGGGAGAAAAATACAAATTAGTTATCTTGACATCTGGCATGTTTAAGGTCATTATTTCTGTGAAGATACAGGATATATGCTTCATTTGTTTTTTGTTTTACATGTTAAAAAGAGACATGCAGTAGTGTGCAAATCTGAATAAGAATTCTACTGTTTGGCATTTAAAAATAACTTCCAGCAATAAAATATACATGATACAATGCAGAATCTAGTAGCTATAGCACCTTTTGCAATGAGTAACAGAATATTTAAGCAATGTATTTTTAAACTTATTGTGTTGTATGGAGGAAAGTAATCTATTTTTCTTGTACAGGTGGTCCTTGACCTACAACCATTTGTTTAGTGACTGGGCAGCATCTCCATGAGACAAACTTTGGGCACTTGGCAATTGGCATGTATTTAAGACAGCTGCATTTTCTTGGGGTCATGTGATGACCATTTGTAACTTTCCAAAATGGCTTCCAACAATAAAAGTCAATGAGGAGGCACATTCATTTAATGACTACAAGATTCACTTAACAACCGCAGTGATTGTAAAAAAAGTAAAAAATGGGGAACAATTAATTTTATAACTGCCTTGCCTACCTACAGAAATTTTGGCTCAATTATAGTTGTAAGTAAATACTACCTGTATGCAAGTTCTATTCCTCAATCACACACAATATTTACTGTCATACAACAGTGAAAACCATAGAAAGGTATTGTTCATAAGACACTTGTATCCAGCCATCCTGATCAGTATCATAGCGTCTGAAGACATCTGTCCATTTCTGGAAGAAAAAGGTTAATGTCAAATTGTCTGCAGATAAAATACCTGTGTTCCAATATATAGGATGCATACAACAACCATGAGACAGATATGATACACAAACTGAAATCTAAATTGGGGAGGGAAATATTTTTTCTACAGTTTTTGACAATGAAAGTACCAATCAGGATCCAGATAAAGGGCTGGCTGGACAAACTACAAAGTCAGTGGTCCACAACATAAAGCTGTGTTCAAATTTAAACTTATAATCTTGTTTTCATGTTGCATACTTGAAACAATTTGATCATCTGTCTTTATCTGGCCTCTCTATATCCCCAAGTCTATGATTACCTGCAGTACAACACAGCACTGAATGAAGTCATCAAAAGCCACTTGCCCTCTTCTTTGCCTATCAAATTTTTGAATCAAGAGATCGTAGAACTGGTCAGTCAGTCGGTATCCTTAATAGAATTGGAAATATTAATGAGCAAAGTTTAAATATATTCTATAATTGCAGCCACCTACATAAATGATATTCATCTAAGCAAATACCACCCTCCAAGAAGTTTCACGTATGAGAGAAGAATGGAACCAAAATGGTTTAATCAGATAATTTAGAACTGACACCTTTTTATGAAAAATCAGTCTATCCCATAAAGCATACTGTGATATGTCACAGATAAGACCCATGATGACCCAGTGGTTAGAATGCAGTACTGCAGACTAAGTCACTGCTTACTCCAGGAGTTCGATTCTGAGTGGTTCAAGGTTGACTCAGCTTTCCATCCTTCCGAGATCAGTAAAATGAGGACCCAAATTGTTGGGAGAAATATGCTGACTCTGTAAACTGCTTAAAGAGAGCTTTAAAGCACTGTGAAGCAGTATATAAGTGCTATTGCTATTGTAACAAAAGTTATGGCTGAAAATATAAACAAGATTGTTTAATGGATTGGTAAAATTAAATAAAATTTAAATCTTGGTATACTATATGTTTTTAAATAGTGCTGTGCTGTTCGAGTATCCAATCAGTTTTTTTAACAATTACTCATAAGAATGTGCAAGAATGAAAATAATACTTTATTTAAATAGAAAGAAATAACTTTGAGCATCAAATAGTATGTATTCAGGAAACCATTCTATTGTATCATGAAATACATTTTACAGAATCTGTATTATTAAGTTAGAAAGCTAAACGGAGTAAGATTTGCACCTAAGGGGAAATGCATTGAACAATGTCATCACACATGTTGTGGGGAGTTTACAGATTTCTGTAAGCTTATGTAATATATTGCTAAACATCTATGGAGATTCTCAGTCATCCAAGTCATGGTTGTCCCAAAGGTGCTTTTTCAAGAGGCAACTGGACTTTCTGGTTTTCTTCTAGGCCAGGCTGAAGAAACTTCTTGGATGAGAAGCAAAACATCTTCAAAGAAAAACAAGAAAGTCCAATTGCCTCTTGAAAAAGCACCTTTGGGACCCTTACTTTACTGAAAATTATACTCAAATTTATTCCTTTTATCCCTCAGAGGAATGTAAGCTCTTCACAGTGAGTGACTGGAAAATGTTTACAGTCAAGACAATTTCATTCATATGAGAAGCAAACTCAAGCCGAGACACCTTACCCAAAAAAAGTGGCTGTGAAGCGCGAGAGGCTATACTTCAGAAAAGATTCCATATACCCAGTCATACTATTCCACTGGATTAAAAGCAATGGTCTTTTAAATCTAGATATTCGGGCCTAAAATGTACTTTTAAAAATGGATATGCTTTTTCCTCTTCCTTACTTTCTATTACACAGTATGTCATGTTTTTGAAATTATAAAGACACCTTTACAAGTTGTTTCAGATATCTTCCTCCCCCCCCCCCCCGCACCTCTCTGTATCTGTGTATCTCTGTGTGCATATGTAAAATCTTCAAATATTTTGTAAAATTAGTGGACAAGCATTCATATCCTTAACATTTTCTACCAAGTATCATTCACATTTGTAGTAATACTTAAAATGGATTTTGGATCCAATTCTAAATCCAAAATGAATGATACAGCAGGTTTCAACTAACAATGTTCAAAACATAGTTCATTTTAAAACATTCCCCCTCAAACTGACTTATCATTAATTTAATATGTTATATCTTATAAATTACACCATAGAGAAAACTTTTCCCCATAACTCTCTCTTAACTACAATACTGACTGTACTGAACCGTACTGAATCAGCAAAAGTTAAGGGCTACCAGAAATAACTGCCTAACTATTTTAACCTTGATTGAATAAACTATATCACTTCCCCATACATTTAATAATCTTACATTTTAATCCCTTCAAATAATATTTTTCAGCTTGGTGTGTAATTAGGGACAGATGATCCTCCCAAAAACTCAGACCCATGTCACAGAGGGCTATAATACACAAAATTGGTGTCTTAATTTGCACTAGGACACAGACAGTGACAAATGCAACTGGCAGAGCAAAAGTATAACATGAATTCTACTAGAAACACTTAAAATTGCCCATGCTGCTGCATTTTTCCCCAACTGCAATTTTTGGATACTCTTCAAGGACCCCATATTGCAACTATGACCCCACAATCACAAGTTTTTGTGAAATAAGTTCTAAATAACTTGTGACTGATGTACTATTAAATATATTGATTAAAAGCATTAATTGATTTAAAGGCCTAATGATAACCTATTCCAAGCTGGGTATCTTCCAGGTGTGTGGCATTCAACTCCTAGAATTCTTGTGTCAATTACTGAAAATTCTGAAAGTCGAAGTCTATACACCCGGGAAAAGCTACATAAATCTATTTGCCAAATTACATGCTTGTAATAATTACAATGAATTACCAAAACCTGTTAGGGCTTGCTTTAATTCATGTTTGTCAATCATTCCAGAGTTGTCTCTATCATATCTGCGAAAAACATTCTGCCAGTCAGAGATGTATTTCCACACTCCTGTGAATTCATTGAAGTTTACACCACCTTTGTTTTCTCTGTCAAACATAGCTGAAAAAATAATCAATCTTAATTAATCTAAATATTAATCTAAATGTTAATGTATTTGTAATTCACCATTACTTAACTTATTAAGTTTGAATTAAATTTAAATTAGGAGAAAGCAGAAGTAAATATTTCAAAGAAAAAGTTAATTGTGCTGAAATTATTTCCCATTTTTATGTCAAAATAAAACTCCAAAAGCAGCTTCTATGCAGAGCAAAATATAGATTCCCTAGAACTCAAGAAAAAAAAAAGTTTGGTTTTAACCATTTTAAAGAGCAATTCAATTAGTTCTTTCGTTGTAAGGACCTCCATTAGCTACCATAGTTTTAAGAACAGATGAATGTAGGAGAAATACACAGTAAACTATGAAACATTTTATATGCTACATCTTTTTCCTGAAATTGTAAGCATTGCTTATATCTTTTATGAAATACTGTAATGTAGCAGAATCTGCAGAGTATGTGTGTCAAAATTTGCAAGGATACATCCTGCCCCATTTTATGTGTCACACTGGCAACACAGGTTGAAAACAAGTGACACTTGCACTGTCATCCTCCACATACAGTACTATCATGTTGATTTTGACAGATACATACCCTACAGATGCCATTGGCAATACTACTAATTGGATAGTGATACAAGCGGCAATATTTTACTTCAGCCAATCTATAGTCCAGCCTATCTGATAATTATGCAGAACCTTATTATGGAAGGGTGGGAAAATTTTACTAATTTTAATGGAGGGGGAAATCAAAGTTTCCATATATGCTCCCTTTAAAAGATATTCAAGGGGATGAATGCATCAGTATGTGAAACAAGCTCCGTTCACCTTTTTTGTTTTTATTTAATAAAGCAGAACAAAGAAAAATATATATGAAACAATAACAAAAGAAAAGAGAAAAGCAGTTGTTGTACACACACGTAAAAAGGGCAGAGATTCTATTGTGGCCGTATAATGCTGCTTTCGTTTTGATGAAAGGATTGGATCCTGCAGAGGCTCCTTTGTATCAATTAATACTCAATATTTCAAATATTCAGAATCATGAATTGGAAAAAGATGAATAAACCAGTTTCAAAAATGACTTTCTGACAAGGAGAAAAACATGTGATTGCACAAGTGACTATCTGAAGGATCCCAATTCCAATTAATAAAGTTGCTATGATCTGTGGTTACAACAATAAACTTACAAATAGTCCTCAATTTACAGCCACAATGGAACCTGAAATTTTGATTGCAAGCCATTGCAATTTTAAGTTGAGTCACCACATGACCAAACTCAATGTTACACATTTTTATGATGATTGTAAAAACAAATCACTGTGGTCATGTTAATCACATGATCATTAAGTGAACCATATTGTCATTAAGCAAATCCATTCTCCTGAATGGGGGTGACATACAAGTTGGTTGTCCAGGCATGATATTCCCCTCTGAAAAAAAAATCGGGGCCGGCCAAAAGAGACCCCGCGCCGCGAGCCAAGAAATCGCACACACAACACCAACGCTACACACCCTTCCTTTCCAGCCGGTCACGTGTGGATCAGCTCCAGAGCTGGGCAGCCGCTTCCCTGGGGGCGGGGCCGAGGCCGCCGCCCAGGGAGCGCCCGCTGCTTTCCCACGCCAGGGCCGGGCGGTGGCGTGTTGCACGGAGAGACGGATGGTCCGTGGCTGCCCAGCTCCCTTTTCCTGCCGCTCAGCGGCCTCTGCTCGCACCACCCAGGCTCCGCTCAGGTGTCCGGCTGGGGCTGTCAGGAGTTGCTACCGCCGGCGCGGCTCTGCGCGACTCCAGTCCTGCGTTGCCTTGGGAAGGGAAAGGCAAAACCGGGAGCTGCTGCGCCTGAGCCTCCGGTGCCGCTGCTGCTGTTGCAAAGCGCCGCCGCGGCTCTTCCTTTTTGCCTTTCCCTTCCCGAGGCAACGCGGGACTGGAGCCGCGCCGGCGGTAGCAACTCCTGACTCAGGGGGCCTCCGAGGGGAGGGGAAGGAGGAGAAGAAGGGGGGGTGGGCGATTTCCAAAAAAATCGGAATTCCGATTTTAATTGGAAGAATATCATGTCTGTTGTCAAGGGCGAAAAATGCCAATTATAACTTTGAGGTAAGTAGTTTTTTTCAAGTCTATCATAACTTTAATCAACCATTAAACATCCAGTTGTAAGTATAAGACTATCTGTATTTATTTAAATTAATAAAGCTGAAAAGACTAGTATTCAGACAAGTGCAACCTAAGTATAAAACAAATGAAGTTCAAATATTACTTACATAAAATAGATCTTACAGTTGCTGGATTAAATGGAGTCCATGTTCCTAAAAGAAAAAGAAAACATTACATGATACACATAGAAACAAGAACATTTCAAAGTGATAAATGAGTAGCAATTGAACAATTAAAGCTTATTAAAATAGTACTAATAAATCTTAACTGTAATTATGTTCACAAGTTATTTATTTACTTTTGCATAAATTATTTATTTTTGCATAAATTATTTACTTTTTCATAAATTATCTTCACCCTTTTCACAGAAAGTATAATATTTTTTTTGAAGCTACCCTTCTTTCTGGTAGACTTTATTGAGTTTGAGATTAAAATTGTCAACATAATTCAGTTAAAGATCTCATAGCATCCAATGATTGATTTACTATTCATGTTACTTACCATTGTGAGCAACTAAGTGAGCTGCAAAGAATTGACAATGTAGGGCATGCTTGGGCGAGTTTAAATTGCCATTAAACTATGAAGTTTAAGTGCTATGGATTATTTAAATTGACCAACAAGAGAATTATGGCATCTAGAATTATTTGATGAAAAGAAATGCCATGAACAAAATAAAATACTATTAGCTTGTAATTGTACTCAGTGGAAAAAAATCTATATATGTGGTCACTAAGGATTGGCAACAACTATATTGTACATAATTACTTGTACAGAGATGAATAAAATTGAACAATTAATCATATTTGATAAAGCACATCTAAAGAAATCAGATTATCAGCACAGTTGCCCAAAATATTTTTTTTTAAAAAGGAAAGGTTAATTATTGTCACTTAATATGATTTCAAGATACATTTATTTATTTAACAAGAATATATGGCTGCCTATCTCACACATCAGTGACCCCAAGTAGTTCACTTTAAAAATCTTCAACAAAATACAACACATACACATCCCACGGCAGCACAACACAATCTGATCAATTATAGTTGAGGCTCACCAATACCCAAAACTTTTTTATTTTTGTTCATTGTTGCATAAAGCAAAAACGTTAAATAAAATTAAAGAGGAATTAACATTTCCTAGATTCCATTTATTTAAAGCCGATTCTAACACAATGGTCTGAGTTACAAGAAAGCATTTAGAGGAGGGTTGTTTGCAGCTGAAGGCAATAGAGTTAAAAGAAGACATATCCCCACAAAGATCACAAGTTTTGAAAGAAATTTTTAATATAGATTAAATTCTAAGTTATTAGTTTATGAACTAATAAACAAATTAGATAGTACAAACAACTAGGGAAGAAAGTTAAAGAATTAGGGGCACAAGTGCTGTTTTCATTTATACTTCCCATAAAAAGCCAACATCCAATGAGAGAGCAAAGGGTTTTAGAAACAAACCACTGGCTTAAAAATTTGTGAGAGAGAGAGAGAGAGAGAGAGAGAGAGAGAGAGAGAGAGAGA